CAGCTTCACCTGGAATGCTTTTCCAACAGTCTTGAAGGAGTTCCCACATATTCTGAGCACTTGTTGGCTGCTTTTCCTTCACAATGCGGTCCGACTCATCCCAAACCATCTCAATTGGGTTAAGGTCGGGGGATTGTGGACGCAAGGTCATCTGATGCAGTACTCCAGCTCTCTCCTTCTTGGTAAAATAACCCTTACACACTCTGGAGATGTGTTGGGTCATTGTCCTCTTGAAAAACAAATGACAGTCCCACTAAGCCCAAACCAGATGGGATGGCGTATCGTAGCAGAATGCTGTGGTAGCCATGCTGGTTAAGTGTGCCTTGAATTCTAAATAAATCAGTGTCACCAGCAAAGCACCCCCACACTAACACCTCCTCCTCCATGCTTTACGGTGGGAAATAAACATGTAGAGATCATCCGTTCACCCACACCACGTCTCACAAAGACACGGCGGTTGAAACCAAAAATCTGAAATTTGGACTTTTCCACCAGACTAATGTCCATTGCTCGTGTTTCTTGGCCCAAGCAGGTCTCTTCTTATTATTGGTGTCCTTTTAGTAGTGGTTTCATTGCAGCAATTCGACCATGAAGGCCTGATTCACACAGTCTCCTCTGAACAGTTGATGTTGAGATGTGTCTGTTACTTGAACTCTGTGAAGCATTTATTTGGGCAGCAATTTCTGAGGCTGGTAACTCTAATGAATTTATCCTCTGCAGTAGAGGTAACTCTGGGTCTTCCATTCCTGTGGCGGTCCTCATGAGAGCCAGTTTCATCATAGCGCTTGATGGTTTTTGAGACTGCACTTGAAGAAACTTTCAAAGTTCTTGAAATGTTCAGTATTGACTGACCACGTCTTAAAGTAATGATGGACTGTCGTTTCTCTTTGCTTATTTGAGCTGTTGCCATAATATGGACTTGGACTTTTACCAAATAGGGCTATCTTCTGTATACCCCCCTACCTTGTCACAACTGATTGGCTCAAACGCATTAAGAAGGAAAGAAATTCCTCAAATTAACTTTTAAGAAGGCACACCTGTTAATTGAAATGCATTCCAGGTGACTACCTCAAAGCTGGTTGAGAGAATGCCAAGAGTGTGCATAGCTTTCATCAAGGCAAAGGGTGGCTATTTGAAGAATCTCAAATAACATATATTTTGATTTTGTTTAACACTTTTTGGTTACTACATGATTCCATGTGTTATTTCATAGTTTTGATGTCTTCACTATTATTCTACAATGTAGAAAATAGTAAAATATAAAGAAATACCCTTGAATGAGTAGGTGTCCAAACTTTTGACTAGTACCTTATATCGTCAAAATAATATCCCGCTTCACAGATATAGGTCTAAAAATGGCCACTTTCATCATGATCTTCTCAAAAATGGTTTGTGATACAAATGTAAAAAGCATGTCAAACATCCTTCCTCCCAATGAAGTTACTGTTAGAATTGCCAGAACAATCTGGCATACCAAAAATATTTTTGGACTATGCTGCCACGGAATCGGCCACTTAAACCACCACTGTTGGTGATCCTCAGCAGCCATCTAGTTTCAGTATGGCCATGATGACTACACATAGCTAGCTACCTCTAAGCAATGTCCCATTTACCCCACCTGCCCCCTTAACCCCAACCTCCTAACCTTTACTCTATAGTGTATCTGTCACGATCTCTCTGATGCTCTTCAATGGCCTTTCAGACTTTTTGCTGTGTGAGAGCAAGTATTTCGGTGTGCTTGGCCTGATACTGTACATGGTGCAGTTGGAAATCCTCATGGTGGGGGTTTTAACTCGGCCCTTCACTTATTGCATCACATACATTGGCAGCATATTCCCCCAGTCCTCATTTTCCTGAGGCCTTTAATGATGAAATTAAGCTGGTTTTGTGGAGGACCTAACAGCTCTCCACCAGCTACAGAGATGGCTTTGCATATTTTCCATCTGGCCTCACAATGATCCCACTGAAAAGCTAGGGGCTTGAAGGGTCAGCGCTTGAAGGGGAAACACTGGCATTTACATAACAGCCACAAGGCTGTGTTCATGTGTAGATAAGTTGTGGTGGTGTTATTGGATAGTACAATGACAGTCGTCTGTCATTTGGTGTAACTGGACAGTTAGGCCTATCTGTCATTCAGTGTGATGGTGTCTATCATTCAGTGTAACTGGATGGTTCCATATTCAACGGTATGTGGTCGCTTAGCATGTTAAACCCATGTGTTTGTGTTACATGATTCCATATTATTGGCCTATCCTGGAATACTTGGTTTGTTGCTAAAATGAGCTAGATGACGACTATTTCCATTTCACTTACGCTTTTGCTTGGCTGCATCATGCCAAGTCTCAGCCATATCAGTCCAAACCATCACACAAGTGTGGGTACAGCACTATCAGCACACAGTGAGGGGCCATGACAACCTTGCATGGCTGTCAGAGACCTAACAGAAGTGTGAATTCTGAACATGTTCCCCTCAAATTGAAACAATCTTTAGAAGTAGTGAAATTGTCACCAGAAGCTTTTTTTTTTGGGGGGGGGGGGGGGGGGAAGTTGGTAAGGATCCAAAAGTCGCTAACCGGCGACAAAATGGCTAACTTGGTGCAGCCAAACGGGAGGTTGTTGGGGAATAGGGGGCAGCTGTGACAGTTTATGTGTGTGGGGGGGGGGGGGGGGTCGTTGAACAGAAAATACACGAACTGCTGCTCCAGCATGTGGACTTGTGAATATGAAGGTGGATGGCATACACATGCCCTAAAGGACACAGGTGGGTTCTGACTGAGGCTGGGGTTAATATGGTCTGCACGAATTTACCTGGTTTCTTTTTAGTCATTTGTTAGTGCAATTTACCTCAACATTGATCCTGGTGACCCACTGTGTATGCAGGATTTCCCTCCAGCTGAGCATTAATTGGAATCAATGCACTTAACATCTAGGGAAGCTGCAATACTGTCCGATACATGGAATGAGATTGGAATAGAGGTGCTTTGTGTTATGCTTCTGATCCCAGCTTAGGGAGAGCAGAAGGCTATAGCCTGGGTTTGTATCAAAACCACTCATGAATTCATATAAGCCTAAACACCCAAAATGTATGGATGGTACAAACAAGTGCCAAATAACAAATAGGGTCTTCATCAAACTCCGAGAGCAGCTAATTGAACATAGTTTTACAAAGAGCCTATAAGACCGTCTTGAGATGTGGGCCTACTTACACCATTGTCTCATTTGCAGAAGGAGAGTCCTATGAGAGGAATATGAGGATATAATTAATATTTGTAGCCTCATGCGTGTAATGAATGTGGTCCTCTGTAGCTCAGCTGGTAGAGCACGGCGCTTGTAACGCCAAGGTAGTGGGTTCAATCCCCGGGACCACCCATACACAAAAATGTATGCACGCATGACTGTAAGTCGCTTTGGATAAAAGCGTCTGCTAAATGGCATTATTATTATTATTATTATTATTATTATTATTATATTATTATGAAAATGTATGCTGAACGGAAATGAACCCCTGCTAAAAGAGTAAACATATTGTGTGGACTATGGTGAAAAAGAACCAGCTTTGTTCCAGGTCCAATGGCTTTGGGCTTTGGCAGGAAGTGGCTAATGTTCGGGGGTATGGCTAATTCCGGGCATGTAAATGTACTTGGCGAATAAAGGTGATTCTGATATCTGTTAGTCATTTAGTCCCCTCTTCAGTATTCAACTCTGAAATCACAGCAGAATGTTTTCGAACTGTGAATGTGTCCACTACCACTGTTATATTGCTTCACCCACCAGTCTTAGGCCCCAAGGAACAAGGTTTGAGTTGACTCCAAAGTAGGAAATTGGCCGTGTTGCTTCTTCTCATCTTGTCATTTAACTTCAGCCTATGAAACCATCATGCTACAAGCTAATATGCTATATGCTAGCCCTGGCCACAGACTTCTAATCTGTCACTTTCACCTGGAAGTACAAACAACCCACATAACCCCCCGGGGGAGAAATGTGTGTAGTGTGAACGCAGGTATTTTTAGACGCCTGTCGTAATCCGTCCATCTTTCCCTCTGACGTCCTTGTGCATGGGAATTCCTCTACTGGGCAACTAGAGCTTAGCGGGCCACCCTGTTGATGTCACAGACTCGGTGAATAGGTGAGGGCTGTCGCTAATAGGTTGGAAGCGCTAGCGGCGGTTAGCATGCCTTTCCTCAATCACGTCTGATGGGGGAGGAGTGACAATGGCAGGGAGACATCGGAGCCTTTCTGCCATTGAGCTGCGGGGAGTATTTACTTGTCTTTCTCTGTGTGTGCCTAGACTGACTGATGGAGATGCATAATAGCTGTTGGCACATTGTGAAGGGGTGAGTGCGCTCAGACAGGTCAGATGACATTACCTGGGGTATTGTCCTTGAGCCACAGGTTTTGAACAATGACATGTTTCTCTCATATAACTGTGTCCACAGTACTTACAGATATGTTAACAGTAAGTTGCAGTATTCGGAGCAAATCTACTTTGCTGAATCAGTCCAATTTAACATTTATAGCTTGCGGTTATTTTTTTTCAGTTGGTTATTCCCCCCCCCCCCGTCCCCCCCCCCCCGTCAGTGTAGCGTAGACTACAGTTTCTGAGTCCATTTTGGTCACATACAGCTGAAACACTGCATCTGTTCTATGAAAACACATCATAAAGGTTGTTTGCTGTGTGTACATAAGGAATGTAGAAGTAACACTAACCCCCCCCCCCCCCCCCCCCCTTTCCAGGAGTGACATCGTCCTCACAACAGCAAATGGTCGAGATACTGGTGACCTTTTGCCTGAGCAAACAATGAACTGAGGGCAACACCAGCTCTAGCAACGGAAAACCCTCTGCCCCATCACCCCAGACCTGGGCAGAGGAGTGTGTGTGTGACTGCGTGTGATGTGTGTTTGAGTCTGCCCGTGCTCCAGAAAGAGCTAATCGGCTACACTCCCCCTCTCCTAGTCTGAGGAGGCACCTCTGACCTTTGACCCTGTTCGATTGACCCCAGCCAACACAGTCACCACCACCACCAGGAAGCATGGGGAGGAAGAAGATTCAGATCCAACGGATCACCGACGAGAGGAACCGACAGGTGAGACTGAGATGTGGCTGTGTCTCCAAAGTCTGTACCAGGGCCTTATTATTTATTATTATTATTAGTCAACTCCTTATAAAATAGGTGAGAAAGATGTGGCCTTGTCTCTTTTGAATACTGAAAAAAATGCATCCTTCCATCGTCCCAATCCAATCATACCCAGGCTGGCCCATATACCGTACTGTATGTGTTAGTCCACCAAGGCCCATTTGTCACCATGGGCCAGATTCACTGTTTGTACCGGTACAAAGTACGCACCTGTTGAAATAAATGGACCAAAAACGGTCTAACATAACTGAAGAGAAGGAAAAAGAGCTTACGGTTAATAAGACTATAACGATTTTAATTTTTTTCCTTCTAAAAAGAACAGGTGCAAATTAGGCTTGGGCTGTATACCGGTGTATTTGGAAATAGCCACGGGATGGTTTTTCAATACCGTCAATACTGTTGAAACTATTTCTTTGAAGTTTTTCTATTCATGTTAATATTTATAGCTACTTTTTAAGTAAATACCTGAAGTCAACTTGTGCAATATATTAGAAGATAAAGCAGATTGCGTTCTTCAATTCACCTGTCACATTATTTAACATTATGAAGCTTACCGTAGGGTTAGGGTTAGAACAGCTGAGCCAGTCACGTGTTTGTTTGTAAAAAAGCACAACTGGAGAAAGCGGGAGCAGGTGAGTCACGCTGTGTATTGACAGGGGTCGCGTTTTACATTGGAAGTCGTGTTTTTTGCTTCAATAGTGATCAGGGAAGACGTGAAACTATAGTTTCCCTTCTCAGAAAATACATTAGTGCAACACATTCGGCAGAAAATAGCTTCATTTTCATCAGATAACAGAAGTGCAACACTGGCCTCCCGAGTGGTTCAGCGGCCTAAGGCACTGATTCACACAGTCTCCTCTGAACAGTTGATGTTGAGATGTGTCTGTTACTTGAACTCTGTGAAGCATTTATTTGGGCTGCAATTTCTGAGGCTGGTAACTCTAATGAACTTATCCTCTGCAGCAGAGGTAACTCTGGGTCTTCCATTCCTGTGGCGTTCCTCATGAGAGCCAGTTTCATCATAGCGCTTGATGGTTTTGAGACTGCACTTGAAGAAACCTTCAAAGTTCTTGAAATTTTCCGGATTGACTGACCTTCATGTCTTAAAGTAATGATGGACTGTCGTTTCTCTTTGTTTATTTGAGCTGTTCTTGCCATAATATGGACTTGGTCTTTTACCAAATAAGGCTATCCTCTGTATAGCCCCCTACCTTGTCACAACACAACTGATTGGCTCAAACGCATTAAGAAGGAAAGAAATTCCACAAATTAACTTTTAAGAAGGCACACCTGTTAATTGAAATGCATTCCAGGTGACTACCTCATAAAGCTGGTTGAGAGAATGCCAAGAGTGTGCAAAGCTGTCATCAAGGCAAAGGGTGGCTAGGGGCTAGGGTGGGCTCCCGAGTGGCGCAGCGGTCTAAGGCACTGCATCTCAGTGCTTGAGGCGTCACTACAGACCCCCTGGTTCGATTCCAGGCTGTATCACAACCGGCCGTGATTGGGAGTCCCATAGGGTGGCACACAATTGGCCCAGCATCGTCCGGGTTTGGCCGGTGTAGGCCGTCATTGTAAATAATAATTTGTTCTTAACTGACTTGCCTAGTTAAATAAAAGGTAAAATTAAAATTTTGAAGAATCTCAAATATAAAATATATTTTAATTTGTTTAACACTTTTTACTACATGATTCCATATGTGTTATTTAATAGTTTTGATGTCTTCACTATTATTATACAATGTAAAAAATAGTATAAATAAATAAAAACCCTTGAATGACTAATAGTGTGTGTATACTGGACTGTCTGTCTGTGCGTTTTTTGTTGTTGTTCGCTCTCGTTAGCATTTATAGCTAGCAGCCTCCATGGAAATGAGCTATTACTTGTGCTAATTTTGTTTGCATTCTGGTAATGGAGGCCTAATGGGCTTGAGTTTTTGGCGCCCCCTTGTGTACTAAGCTAAGTACTGTAAATCTCGGGATGAGCGGAAAATTTGGATACCGCCCAACCCTAGTGCAAATGTATATATTTCCCTATGTTAGTGTCACTGTGCCCATTAATGAACATCGTATCAGTGCACAGAGGTTAAACCAAAATGGAGTCAATCAGATCACACACAGCTCTGCGGACATCTGCTCCAGATAAATCAATCCGCCCACAGCAGCTGCAGGCCAGTGGACACAGTCATATCAGGGACAGAAGTTACTGGTGTGTGTGTTGCGTGTGTGTGTGTTGCGCGTGTGTGTTTTTTGAAAGGGTAAAAGTGTGTGAGTGGGATTGTGGCCGAGTGTAGGGGTGTGTCTGTGTGCTACTGTTTTGGGAAAAATGTGCAGCTGTACTGTATGTGCAAGTGAGTTTCTCATTTTCAAGGAGTCGTCTGTTACTGTCTGCTTCTTGTTCACAAATAGATATAGAGTTACCAATCACCACCCTGCTATTTGACAGATGTTCCTATTAGAATCATTTATTTGTCATGAATGGTTAAACATTTAATATAATCTTTGTAGTTGTACATCAGCAAAATACATAAAATAGGTACAAGGCTGTGGTCGGTTTGTCGGCTATTCAGTGACAAAGATGTTCCTTATTCACATTCCTACTATAATAACAACTGTTATTGCCTCAGGTAATTCAGAAATGTACACACAACATAGATACAGGAAAATGCATAATTGGTGACCAAAGGTCACATATCACTACAGTAGCATTGCATAATAGCATATTACGAAAGCATAACCTCAGATGTTACACCCTTTCTCCTCTATTACTCGTGTGTGCGTGCTTGCGTGTGCGTTTGTGTCGTATGTGTGTGAAGATCCTCTATATCTAAAGGGGGTTATTCTGAAGATAGGATATTAAAGGCCCTTATCAGTTTTATCATCAAATCATCTCATGTGGATGTTCAGGGATTTGAGAAACAGGGAAGGAGAGTTGGGAAAAAGAGAAGATTGGGATTAGTTGGCAAAGCTGGGTCATGTTCGTTCGTTCGTTCGTTCGTTCGTTCAGCACAAAACAGAAGAAAACAGTCTGAAATGGAGGTAGATGTTTTTCGTGGCACAATGTTTTGAAGCATTTTGCTACAGTGTGCCCTAACGAAAACGTCACTGAAGAACCTGACGGTGGCACCAATTAAATTAATTGCAGATAAAGGAAACCCGCACTGCCGGTTCGCTCAGATTTTTTAATACTGAGTTGGACGTGTTAATTACATTTGACATTTTAGTCATTTAGCAGACGCTCTTATCCAGAGCGACTTACAGTTAGTGAGTGCATACATTTTTCATACCTGCCCCCCGTGGGAAACGAACCCACAACCCTGGCGTTTCAAGCGCCATGCTCTACCAACTGAGCTACAGGGGACATTAATTTACACTTTCTACAGACACACCACAACTCAAACTCATTTTCATGCCTTCCTTTCCTCAACCTCTGCAATCTCTTCCCACCGCCATCCATTAAGTTATTATGTAAAGCACTTTGTGACAATGCTGATTATTTATTCTCTTTTTTTCAATCTCCTCCCATCCAGGTGACGTTCACCAAGAGGAAGTTTGGCCTGATGAAGAAGGCATACGAGCTGAGCGTGCTGTGTGACTGTGAGATCGCCCTCATCATCTTCAACCACTCCAACAAGCTGTTCCAGTACGCCAGCACCGACATGGACAAGGTGCTGCTCAAGTACACAGAGTACAACGAGCCCCACGAGAGCCGGACCAACGCTGACATCATCGAGGTGAAGCAAGTAGAAAGGGCTATCAGCCTCTAACCATACCACTTTTGCTTGAGCCTGCCTGGAATACCAGGTGGGCAGGGTTTGCGCTTTTGTGACATTTTCCATTGGTCCCACTGCGCCAGGCAAGCTCAATCACGCACAGTTAACCGTTTTGAACCCAGGTCTGGGCAGAACAATGAACTGTATTTGCAGCCACAGTGTCGTGTCGCCTCTCTGTAGCCTCCAGTGTTGTGGAATACAAAAAGAGGCCAGAGAGGGAATGGGAATGTTGCCTCAGAACTGAGCTGTGTGTCTTCTTGCCAGATCCGGAAGTCTGATCCAGACACATTCAGCCATACAGCTCGTGTGTACTTGTTCATATTCAGCCAGACTGACCTCCACCTCACGTGTCATCCTTTCTTCTCATCTCCCTCCACTCTTTTTCTCCCTGTCGTCACAGACGTTACGAAAGAAAGGCTTCAGCGGTTGCGAAAGTCCCGAGCCAGACGGAGAGGACTCCATTGACCAGAGCCCCCTGAACGACGACAAATACCGCAAGACTACCGAAGACCTAGACATCCTCTTCAAGCGCTACGCCGTAAGTGTAAGTATCTCCCCCAATCTTAAAACCCCTTGCCCTTAGTTTGCCACTATCCCTTAGTACGGGTGCTAGTACTGGGATAGGTCAAATAAGTGCACTGGATGGTGGTACTCAAATAGAGGTTTGAGGAACACTGGTGGAAGCTCCCCTTCACCTAGAGCAGTTTGATACTGCTATTCTTCCATTGTCTGCTTATCAAACATCAAGAGACCTGAAACATGGTTGAAAAGTGCTAACTGTCAATTCTCTCTCCCTCATCTCTTTCAGTCATCGGTCCCGCCCCCCACATTCTCCATGCCCGTCACCGTCCAGGCCTCTAATCAGAACACATTGCAGTTCAGTAACCCTGGCAATGCCATGGTGACCACCTCCTACGTGACGTCGTCATCGCTCTCTGACAACCACCACCTGTCACCCCAGCAACGCCAGCAACCAGCGCTCCAGAGAAACACAGTATCTCCCGGGTTGCCACAGCGGCCAGCCAGTGCAGGTGAGCGAAAGAGCGGGAACGCCTTCTACTGTGGCATGTGGAGGAAATGAAATCGTCATCTTTTCTCTCCACACAAACTCTGTGCTCTGCCATAACCAGGGTCATGTTCATTAGGACATGCAATGGAAAATGTTTAAAATGTTTCGCAACAGAAAACGAATATGAGCGTTTCTTAACTCCAGGTAGTCCCTCCCTGTTTCAGTCCATTTCGCACCAAATGAACAAAACCAGTTTCAAATCAATGTTGTTCTGAAGCAATGAATCCAGATGGCTTGGGACTAAATATACTTGTATTTGATTATTTATTATTTAAATATTTACTTTCTGTATATTTTAGTATTTTCAGATAATGTGGCTGAAATCAACTATTTCTAGTGGAAGTATTTGAAAGTATTTTGAAATAACTTCTATAAATAGCTTAGTATTTGAAAATGTTTTCTAATACTTTTTTTCCATATAAATTATTTCAAATAGTCCTACGACCTGGGTTCAAATGTATGGGAGCATTTATTTGTATTTTAAAATGCATGCCAATACTTTACAAGTGTATTTCCAAATGCATTCCAATATTCAACTACTTGTAGTTTCAAATAGAAAATATCTGAATACTTGTAATGTATGTGAAAGTAATTGAAATAATAATAATAAACATTTTAATTCAGCGTCCTACTAGTAGGAGTGTTCATATTTTCCTTTGCTCAGCCAGTGTTCATCATTTCAACAGGTGCTATGCTTGGAGGTGACCTGAACAACTCAAATGGAGGATGCCCAAGTCCAGTCCGTGAGTAACCTTATGACAGACTACTCTACAATACCACTGATACTGACAATACTACGCTCATTGACAGTGAATGTGTTAAGAAATGGGTGTACTCAGTGAAAAAGGACAAATTAATCCAATATCTTAGGTGCTAGACAGAAAAATGCCGGCACTCTGATTTGCTCCCAAAACGATTTGAGACTCTCAAATGACCGAAAACGTTTCCAAATGTCTCAATAAATATCAGCATATTAGAAATGTGGACATTGCTTTTTTCAAGAAAAAAAACATTTGATGCTTGACACATTGCCAAGAGCAATCATATACTCCATCCAGGTCCTTAGTAGTTCCTCTCCATCTCCTCCTCTCCCTCCCTTCTCTGCCATTACTGTCCCACTATTACTGGGACTGCCCCGGATCATCTGGGAATGTCACCATTGACGTCAGCTGGCGTGCCTGGAATCCCCAGCACTGCCTGGATAGACACCGGCGCAATGCGGGAGGGTGCCAGGTGGAGAGGGAGACCCAGAAGGTTCAGGTGTCAACCCTCCCTTTTGGGAGAAATCAAATCTAACCCCAGGCTTTTGGCGAGAGAGGGGGCCTAGTGTTAAGGCTGAAGCATACAGTCCAGGGATAGCTGAGATTATGATGTAAAGACATTTTGTCACGTGTCATGTTGTGACATGTCAACATGTTTTTCTGTGTACTCTGAGTGTACTTTTTGCAGTGGAATGTACACATTTTCTCACAGCTCACAAGCCATGCGAGCTGACTATGGGCACTTTTTAAAATCAAAACATTGTTTGTCATTGAGTCGTGTTGGGAGTACATCAGGGGTGTCTGTTGTCCCCCGTCCAGTGGTGTAATGCTATTTAATTAGATTTTCTTTAGGTGTGGGAGCAATTAAAAAAAAAAAAAAGAGTCATAATTTCTCAAGTTTGTACCGACATACTGTATGTAGCCTATTGAATATCATATTAGAATATGCATAAAATACATCCTCCAATTGCAACGTCGGCCTATGCCCACACATATTGTCTCAAGAAAATGTAATATTTTGAATAGAAATAGGCCATCACTGCATCTGCATGCCAACCATTTGCTCTTAATCAGTTTCATGGGAATATGCATTTAGATCTGCTTGAATAACTGTTTCGTGAGTGAATTGGAGCAGATGGTGTTAATAAACTATTAGTCTTTCTTGTATTTGTTTTCAATCCAAGCATAGACTATATCCTGCCTAGTGGCGCATGCTGTTGAGTTTTGGCCGCATGATAATTTCTGGGGGACTATTCAGCTTCAGTGAACTAACTATCCTAAAAGCTCATAAGAAATGACTGAGAAAGTGTTTTTGGTATAAAGTAATATACTGTAGGCTTACTATGCTATTATATTCGGTTCTATTATGTCAAATACAGATTAATCATTAGGTCTATGTGATCTTGCAAGACACTTGGACAGTAGGGCGAGTTCATTAATTGCGTCGTAGCCTACCTGAGCCCCAAGTCCATAACAAACTGTTTTGAGGACAGCCATTTTAGCAACCACTTGTAGGGTTTTCTGTCTGTGGCTGTTGTTATGTTGGATCTGGCCCGCTCTAAGTGGGCGCAGAGCGCTTCCAAGTTAGACAAGGAAAGAGCTTGCCACCCAGCACGTTCCTAATACGTGCCCTGTTTTTGCCACTTGTTGCTGCAGTTTGGCAGTTCACTCAGCGAGCTGGTTACCTTTAGGCTGCTATACATATTTATTTGGTTTGTCATTCTGTTGTTTTTCATGGAAGTTTAGTGGTAATTAAATATATATTATTTCGAATGTATCGGAATTTTCCAGAAATATTTTTTACCAGCTCCGTGTATTCTCAAATTGAAAAAAGTGAGGGAGTGTCGCTCTGGCAGCACTACAACCCTGCCTCATCAACATTTCCCTGTCATAGTGAAGACATTATTATAATTATGGAATAAATCAATAAATTATCCCCTTGTGTTTCCTTGGTGAATTCCAACACTGAATCTTTAAAACCTGCATCATTCAGATTATCGCATTACACAAAGACAGACTCTCCCTCATCTAATTTCCTCGGGGACCACGTATAGTTGAAGGATAAATGAAAAAATTGCTCTTTGCTGTATGTCATATATAAGCTCCTTTCAGATCAGTGATCATCAAAGAAAATACTTAACATCTGTCAGAGGTTCCATCTTCTAAATACACTAAACAATTCCTGCTGTGCCTAGGTGTTGATTTACCTGCATGTGTTTTGTCATTTATATTTGGTTGTTCTCTCTTCCTTCCTTTTTCCCTTCCAGCTAACGGATACATCAGTGCCAGGGCCTCCCCGGGCCTCCTCTCAGTCTCCAACGGCAACAGCCTGGGGAAAGTAGTTCCGGCCAAGTCCCCACCCCCGCCTCAGAGCCCACAGATGGTCAACAGCCGCAAGCCAGACCTCCGGGTAATCACCACTCAGGGCGGGAAGAGCCTGATGCAGATGGTGAGCTCAACCAGGCCAAACTACTAACCAAGTTCAACAAGAACCAGGCCAAACCAGGTCTAACCAGGGCCAACCAGGCTTTTCCAGACTAAATGGGACCTGTCAGTGTTTTGTCACCTTATTAATTGCACCAAAATAATAATTTACGTGGGTTGTAACTGTTCCCCTTCTACAAACTTTGACACTTATTATGCACATGGTCAAATCAGTTTCATAGCAAGAGTGAAATCTAGTATGGACATGGGAGTTGCTTTTTTTTCTAGTTAAAGATTTGTATTTTATATTTGTGCCTCCACCAAAACCACCAGATTGCCAAAACGCAACCTGTGCAATCTAGAGTAAGTAAAGGTTATAAAAAAGATTGTATTATACACTATAATATATCTGTAATAAATTATCATTGACAAACATGACCTTTTCCTCTCTGTTCACGGTCTTCTGTCCAGCATGACCTTTAGTCAAAGGTAGGTCGAGACTAGAGATGAATGTATTTGAGTTCAGAGAAAGGTCAGTGGTGTAATTATTTCCGCTCCCGCCCCTTTGCAGACAGATGATGAGTTGGAGATGGTGAATGAGGTGAATTCTTCTCTCCTGTCACTCGCATGTGTCGATGACCGTTGACCATCCCCCTCCATTCACATGGCCACAAGTGTGCAATGCAACGCTCATCATTTAAACCCAAAGTATAGATGGTCTCGTTCTCTTTAGTCCAATGGCCAGTGGTGGTATGGTCATGAGTTTATGGTCACCACCTGACTGCATGTGGTTTTAGGGTCGTGGTAATGTGATTCCAGCATGATTGCATATAGTTATACAGCTATGATCAGTTGGTGTATTTAAGGGGAAATTAAAGAGGCTTTCAAGCAATGCTAGCATCTATCAGTGGGAATGTTAGCAGCAACCTTGGACGATTTTCGCCACACACTTCACTTGGATCATCTTCATTGTTTGTAGGCCCATTTTCTTCCTTCAACCCTGACACCATTGGGTAGCATGATGGGTGTCATGTCACTTGGCAGTTTGTTGCCACCACCGCCACCACCTTGCAGCACGTTCCCTGTCCATCTGGAAACTGCATGGGGTTACCCAAACAATGAATGGCATACATTTAAAGGGATAGTTCACTTTTTGAAGTTAGCTTATTTCCAGCTAAAATTAAGTGAACTATACCTTTAAGGCTCGCTGGCGTTCACCTGGCAATGCCACCACTACTATTATGTGTGTTGATGCATGATGTCACAAGATGTCTCCCGACACCACCTCCACCTAGTACGAGATACATTTTGAAAGACGTAGCTTGTCATGAATCCAACCGTATTGACACTTGAGCATGTCAAAAGTTCCATTCATTGAATACACAGGGGTTTTAAACATGTCTCTCAATTCTGTCCAACACCAAGGTTTAAATTATTTGTTTATTTGGTCTAACATTCTCCCTCTCATCTCCTTTCTTCCCAGAATGCCCAGCGTTTGGCCGGTGCACAGGTGGCTCAGACGCTCACCACACCGGTGGTCTCCGTGACAACACCCAGCATCCTGGCGCAGGGGCTGCCCTTCTCCGCCATGCCGACAGCTTATAACACAGGTTACCTGAAGATGGCTACAAATGCTTATACATGCTTGCATTGTATATACCAGTGGAGGCTGCTGAGGGGAGGACGGCTCATTATAATGGCTGGAATGGAGTCAATGGAGTGGTATCAAACACGTGGTCCATGTGGTTGATACCATTCCATTTGCTCCGTTCCAGCAATTATTGTGAGCCTCCTCCCCTCTGCAGCCTCCACTGGTATATACTGCACACTCACTGTAGGTCAGGATTGCACAACTCTGTGCACAGTCCTTCTGGTTTTCATTTCTCCCTGACACTTGATGTTACTGAAAATCAGTATTTTCAGAGTAACAACCAGCTGCAAAATGCACCATAGCTGCACTGGTGTGTAGAGTTTTAGAGTTCCTATATACAGTAGATTAAGTTTGATTAATTAAAAAATTACAGCACATGAAATGAATGTGCAACAATTTTCCCTCTGTTTTTCGCTTCCCTCAGAATACCAGCTGACGAGCGCTGACATCACTGCTCTCCACGCCCTGGCGTCACCAGGCGGCCTGCTGCAAGGCAACGTGTCATGGCAACAGCAACAGTCTTTATCCCAGCAGCAGCAACAACATCAACAGCAACAACTCAGTCTGGCGTCGCTTAGCAACTTGGTGTAAGTCCATCTTTGCATTGCCACATCACAAAGCAACCATGAAGCCCTCCTCAGTTCTCTACAAACCAATCGACGACTGTCGACCTGTCCATCAAAACACTATGCGACTGACCATTCCTGTCATGTAGCATAGTGTCCCCATGTCATTTGTAGCTGCAAGCAATTCACATTCATTGGATGGGGTCTGTGAATTGGTCTCACCGACATACGCCACCACAGATCTCATCTTAAAGCACCATCGTTTTGTTTTTTTAGGGATTGTGACTTCATACAGGATTTGATTGAAGTTTATATACCAATCAAATACCTAATTGTCTTAGGTCAGATCCCAACTTTACACATTTTATTACGTTACAGTCTTATTCTAAAATTGATTAAATAAATACAAAATCATCATCAATCTACACACAATACCCCATAATGACAAAGCGAAAACAGGATTGTAGAAATTTTAAATGTATATAAAAAATAAAAAAAACGTATTTACATAAGTATTCAGACCCTTCGCTATGAGTCTTGAAATTGAGCTCAGGTGAATCCTGTTTCCATTGATTATCCTTGAGATGTTTCTACAACTTGATTGGAGTCCACCTGTGGTAAATTCAATTGACTGGACATGATTTGTCATTAGGGCGGCAGGTAGCTTAGTGGTTAAGAGCGTTGTACCAGTAACCGAAAGGTCGCTGGTTCTAATCCCCAAGCCGACTAGGTGAAAAATCTGTCGATGTGCCCTTGAGCAAGGCACTTAACCCTAATTGCTCCTGTAAGTCGCTCTGGATAAGAGCGTCTGCTAAATGACCAATTGATTTATTATTATTATTTGGAAAGGCACAAACCTGTCTATATAATGTCCGAGCAAAAACCAAGCCATGAGGTCGAAGGATTTGTCCGTAGAGCTCCGAGACAGGATTGTGTCGAGACACAGATCTGGGGAAGGCTTCCAAAACATTTCTGCAGCATATTAAGGTCCCCAATAACACAGTGGCCTCCATCATTCTTAAATGGAAGAAGTTTGGAACCACCAAGACTCTTCCTAGAGCTGGCCGCCCGGCCAAACTAAGAAATCGGGGGAGAAGGGCCTTGGTCAGGGAGGTGACCAAGAACCCGATGGTCACTCTGACAGAGCTCCAGAGTTCCTCTGTGGAGATGGAAGAACCTTCAAGAAGGACAACCATCTCTGCAGTACTCCACCAATCAGGCGTTTATGGTAGTGGCCAGACTGAAGCCACTCCTCAGTAAAAGGCACATGACCGCCCGTTTGAAGTTTGCCTAAAGGCTCTCAGACCATGGAAAAACAAGATTCTCTGGTCTGATGAAACCAAGATTGAACTCTTTGGCCTGAATGCCAAGCATCATGCTGTGGGGATGTTTTTCAGCGGCAGGGACTGTGAGACTAATCAGGATCGAGGGAAAGATGAACGGAGCAAAGTACAGAGATCCTTGATGAAAACCTGCTCCAGAGCGCTCAGGACCTCAGATTGGGGCGAAGGTTCACTTTCCAACAGGACAATGACCCTAAGCACACAGCCAAGACAACGCAGGAATGGCTTCGGGACAAGTCTCTGAAAGTCCTTGAGTGGCCCAGCCAGAGCCTGGACTTGAACCCGATCAAACATCTCTGGAGAGACCTGAAAATAGCTGTGCAGCAACGCTCCCCATCCAACTTGACAGAGCTTGAGAGGATCTGCAGAGAAGAATGGGAGAAACTCTCCAAATACAGGTGTGCCAAGCTTGTAGCATCATACCCAAGAAGACTCCAGGCTGTAATCGCTGCCAAAGGTGCTTCAACAAAGTACTGAGTAAAGGGTCTGAATACTTATGTAAACTTGATATTTCCATTTTTAATTTGTTATAACTTTGCAAAAATGTATACAATCCTGGATTTGCTTTGTCATTATGTGGTATTATGTGTAGATTAATGAGGGGGAAAAAAACAATTTAATCCATTTTAGAATAAGGCTGTAACCAAACAAAATGTGGAAAAAGTCAAAGGGTCTGAAAACATTCCGAATGCACTGTATTCCTTTCCTCACATGGCGCACCAATATGGACTGTCATATTATGCTGCATTCTTACTCCACACACAGCTTTACGATGGCAGCACACAGGATAGCATAGTTGCTTAGAACCTGCAAAGCTGTTAACCGGCGATTCTTCAAGGCCTGAAGGAGAGAAGTCACTGTTTGTCCCAAACAGCAGAGGTCAAAGTTCAAAATGGATCCCACTATTAGCACCAATACCCAGCCCAGCCAAATCCTCAGGTGGTCAACTGACCCAAATTGTAGAGGTCAAAGGTCAAAATGGCCACTGCGCACACACACTCAGCCTCAGTACCCTGTGTGACTGAGTGTGTTCTCTCCTCTTGTCCACAGCATGTGGGGCATGGACAAACAGAGCGGGGAGCTGTCTAGCCAGATCTCCAGTCTGGCGGCCAATCTGAGGTGAATGTCTTAGTTTGTGTTTAGTGTACCTTCGGGTGGATGGGGACTGTTCTCTATTCTATGTTTTCACACAACCCCTTTTCAGAACAATGTTATTCAGGACAATGTCAATTATACTGTACTTACAAACACACGTAAAGTCTGTTATAATAAAGGGAGGGAGTTGTCTTTTCCAGAGGGTGACATATTAGCATTAACCGGAGGGAGGGAGGGGGGGGGCACAAAGGACTGTCCAACATTGAATCGATTGAATCCGGCAACAGACTGTCCAGAGACCACTTATGAAATTCATGAAATGTAATTTACCGCTCCTGAAAATGTGATGGTCACAGCATTCTTATTTTTGATGCTTCTTCTATATTGGAAGAAATGGGATTGGGCCCAACTTCAATCTATTTATGATCTCTCCATAAATGTATTATATCCATCTATGCTTGTTTAAATTGCTGTATAGATGGATAGGTAGATTGATGAATACTCATATAAACCTTCTTTCACGTACATAGCTACATACTGTCATTTTCTTTTGCAAGTGTTCCAATGTTTCTTTTTCCCCACAGCACCTCGCAGTCCAACCTCCTCTTGGGTAGAGATGAGTGGTTGGGCCGGTACTGTATTTCTCCGTACTGTGTAATGTCTGTGCGCTTTTGGCTGCCCCGGCATGTCAATTCTGCGGTTGTGATTTCCACCTTTTCTTAAACGTGTAAGGTTGAACAATTCCTGAAACATTACCAAAGTTTCCAGGTTTTTCAGAAATTCCGGAACCGGGTATCTTCCAACCAGAATTTCTGCAAAACCCAGTTTCTGGATAATTATTTTTCCATAGCTGCCACGATCCCTTGCCCAAATCACCCCGCTTCATACACAAGCGATTTCATGCTTTTCAAATACTGTCGGCCTGTTTTTGTATGGATTTTGGGAGCTTGAGGGTTACTTTTGCTTGTCAATTGCTTGGAATGGATTTGATTCAAATGGTGTTGCTACCACTACACCTTGTTGGTGCTCTGTCTTGTAATAAGGGGTTGTGTCCGAAACTTCACATCAGAAACCTGTCACTATGCTTGTATTGCAATACATTGTAATTGATTGTCAAGTGAAACTGACTCTCACCCATCCTCGGTCTTCCTTCTCTTTCTTAATTTCCATCTCTGTGCTGTGGCTCCTACTCTTTCTCCATGTTTCCCCTCCCATCTCCTGCACTTCTCTCTCCCTCTCTCTCTGACGCTCAGGCCGGTGGGCCACATACCTCAGGGCGCCATGCTGACTGTCAACACCAACTCCAACGTGAGCATCAAGTCTGAACCCATCTCACCTGGCCGAGATCGCCGCTCACCGTGCCCCCCTCCGTCCTCCTCTGGAGGGGGCATCCATACGGCTGTGCCCCCGCCACAGTACCCAGGTTCCCTGCTGTGCCTGGAGCCACCAACCGGCCGTTCCCCCGCCGACAGCCTCAGCAGCAATGGCAGCTCCTACGAGGGCAATGACCGTGACGACCCTGGGGCAGGTGGCGGAGGCATCGGCGGAAGTGCAGCGGACAACCGTGGGCGTTCCCTACCTCCTGACTTCAGCCCCTCGGTGGAGCTTCTGCGGGCCCAGAATGAGGTGGAGCAGGAGGGGGCCAACATCAAACGCATGAGACTCGACGCGTGGGTCACATAGAGGCCATGCCGCCAACGTCATCGACCCCTGAAGCACCACGAACACAGACCCCTCCCCCCAACACCCCCTGAACCCCCTCCCCCACTGTCATTTGCCACCATCACACAACCCCCTCTTCCCTGCCTCCATCCAAATAATTTACAACCACCTACCCAGCTCCCCAGGACTCAAAGCAGAGAAACTTATGGGCTTGTGCTCTACCTGAGGGGAGGGATGGTATAGTGTGCAGTTAGATTTTGAATGGGGCAGCGCATTGAATATTGGGGCTCAAAGAATCTCGAAGCGGTCTCGATCAAATTGAGTTTGGTTTTTGTGGGAATTGACACTTGCACAATCAGGACTTGAGGATAATGGATGGATTTAAAATGGAACGTTCTCCTAAAACGTTTTGACTGCTCGTTGCTGTTTATACCAGTCGTAAAAGTGAATCTAGATTCGTTAGACGACACAGTCGACACCATCACGTATTTAATTTGAGCACGACTATCGTTAACAGTATGACTGATTACTTATGCTGTGTTTGCTGGTTGTTTTCACCGTGGGAATTCCTGCCATATTGACTCTTCAGTTCTGTTGTTAGATATAATTAGCAGTTAGCACTGTCTGTTTTTCAGAAAGCACCCCTTCAAAATGCACTTTGGGAATGACTCTGTTTTGACGAGCGCTGCTTTCTAAGATTGCTGGCTCAGCTTCATCGGTGGCACTGAGCGAAGAGACCCAGATGGGCAAAAAGGATGTCTGGTCGGTCAGGGATACACAGGAATGGATCCCACCGCTGCCACCAATTTCCAACACCCCAGCCAAAGCCTCAGGTGGTACTCTGTGGTCAACTGGCACTGTCAGCCAAGGCCAAATCGAGCACCTTGCCAGAGTGCCGATATCAACCTCTTCTCCTAAATGCCAAATGCCTCGGACGCGGTAGAGGGACACTGAAGAATATTGTTCAGTTATTATGACTGACCACCTCCATGAAACAGTAAAAAACACTCATAGCCTTTGATTCGGCTCTCAATATATCTGCTCAGATGTATTTTGAGTAATCACCTGTGTTTCCATTCTGATTTTGAAGGAATTGTTGCAATCTTTGTTACACCAGAAATTAGGCTAGATGCTGGGATCTTCTAAAGGCTCATTCTACTAGGAGAAGACCCCAATGCAATGCAGATTTTACATTTGTTTAGGACTTCTGGTTGCTCTCTTTAGGGAAGTATTTGGTATTTTCTTGGCATTTTAGACCCATTCTTAAAGGTTAGAACTGTTGAATTGTAGATCGTTTGGGGGGAATTAAGAGTGTAACTTTGTTTAAAATCACCCATTATACAAAAGTGGTTGATGTTCCCTTAGCATTCTGCAGCTCTTTGCAACGTTTCAAAAGAGCTGTTTCAGCAGAATTCAGAAATACATATTCTATATTTCTATAGCTTCAGTTGGCAGCAAAGCAGTTGGCTTTTCAATACGGACGATGTGTGTACATATGAATATATTTGCATAGACTTTGCTAGGTATCCCTAAAACAAACAATGTGTTCATTCTCAGTGGATCTGTTTGCATATGAGTGTGATTGTAATTTCGAGATACGATGCAGGAGTCCTGCCGCAGTAGCCGGTGAGTTTGTTTCAGTAACCTATATAATGCTAGTGTTGACGGTGTGCACTGTGTCTCACTCACTCTTTAGAGGCCTGCTTGGCTGTGGTGTCAACATGTCCTTTGGCCTCATGCTCTGAACCCAATCCCCAATGATAAAAGTCAAATGATAGACCACTATAAACACACACAAGCTATAGAAATGAAATGGATTCTACTATTGAAAGTAGCACAATTGACATTTGCATTGAATCATGGTATTTTGTGAACTATAGTATACACTAAGGTTGAGGCAAAACAAAAGCGACTTTATTTAAAGTAATTTGCCGATTTTAAAATGACTTTTTATCCCATGTCATATGAAATCATGTTTTCATATGCTTCACACTCTGCCGTGAGCTACATCAAATGGAGTTGTCCTATTTAACACAATAAGTAGGTGGTGTTGATTTCTAGAAATGTAACTACTGTCCATTATGCAACACAGATTTAGTTTAATTGCCTGCTCAGGGGAATCCCAGGGTTCAGTGCGTATGGCTGGCACCAGTGACTTATCTAGTGGGGTGCAACGTTGCACATAGAAATGTAATGTCTAGAGCTAATTCTTTGACAAAGGGTTTTCTTTTCTACACACTACATTTCTATCTGAACTTATGTCTCATCATGCCCACCTCAGTCTGAGGGAGAGGTCCCTCTTTGGTTTATGAGATTGGACACCACACTTGATTGGTTTTAACACCCTGCCTATTGCAGGTCACTCGTGTACAAAAGGATCTCTGTCCAATCTAGCAATGTAGTCAAGACAATCTATAATGGTAAATGGAAAAACCTGCACCCTTTTTTTTTTTTCTTATGTAAAATGTTTTCTAGATATCACTATTTTTCAAGTGTTAATTTGTGCTGTTGACAGTTCCATATTATTATTATTGTATTATGATGGAGCTTTTATTTTTCTGGTATTGTGTAGGATATCCAACCTTTTTATTTAAATTGACCTTATATACATGATATGAAACTGGTTTCCTTTCTTGAAACAACTTGCTAAAATTGCACGATCAGTTATTGTGATATAGCAAATGCAATGAAGGACAAGACCAGTTAAATGCTGCAATATTGATTTAAGATATGAAAATATATTTATAATGTGGGGGAATCAACTGAAATTAGCAATTTAATAGAATTTGAAAATGTAAATGCATGGGATTATACAAAACTAAAACACTCATGTTACATACAAAATTAACGAAATGCATCACAAATGAGTAAGAACCTCATAAAAATGTAGCATAAGAAAAACATGAATTTATAGCTAATATATTGTGTTCAGTTAGTCTGCTTTGGGTTTTTGTTGTAAAGACATTTTTGTTGTTTTTGAGAATGATATACATTTTCTGTATATTTTCATATGCAATGTATGCACTGATATGTCATCAATTCTATACCGCTTTTACAAGTGTTTGTTGTACCAAAGTATCCAAGTCCCTTGAAACCTTATCCTTTTTGTGTATGTTTTACCGTATTTTATATATTAAATAGACAAATTGAGTGAAAAGGGTATCTGTTGTCTTGTTTTGAACAGTAGCGGTGTGTGGGTAAAATCACCGGGGAAGCCAACCCAGGTAAAAAAAAGCCATATTACAACCTATGCGTTATCACACACTTTGTGATAATTGTGTTTGTCCTATAACCTGTTAGTTCATATGCCTTGACACTGTGATATATAGGCCTAAGGCCGAGACTATAAGAAGACACGGTGGTAGAATAAATTCAACCACACATTTGTTTTATTACAAAACCGGAGAGCAAAATCTGTCCGGTGAAGTCCATAAAACAGATTGCATGTAACAAACAGTTACATGACCCAAAGCATGGTCAAGCAAGGTAAAGTTTCTGATATTTTTGGACCACTGTTGCTTTAGAACCACTGAGTTACCGCAAGTTGCAAATAAAACAGGAGCTGCCTCCACTATTCCAGCACCATTTCAACATGATCTAATCACCTATGCTTAGTCTAATACAGTGACATCTAAAGATACCAAAAACGATTTAGTTTAATCAACGTAAGGTAAATAAGATGTGGCTGTACATGGTACTGATTTCTGTGTGCGTGCAAGTAGAAAAAACATGACTCGCCCTACTTGTAGAGAAACGTCAATGGCATCCTCCTAAACGGTCTCTGACTCTGTCAGAGTACACACTTTTAGTTTTTGTTGTCCTAGTCTACCTGGATAAAATAAACTCAGCAAAAAAAGAAACGTCCTATCACTGCCAACTGCGTTTATTTTCAGCAAACTTGACGTGTAAATATTTGTATGAACAAAAGATTTAACAACCGAAACAAACTGAACAAGTTCCACAGACATGGAATAATGTGTCCCTGAACAAAGGGGGGATCATAATCTAAAGTAACAGTCAGTATCTGGTGTGGCCACCAGCTGCAGTGAATCTCCTCCTCATGGACTGCACCAGATTTGTCAGTTCTTGCTGTGAGATGTTACCCCACTCTTCCACCAAGGCACCTGCAAGTTCCCGGACATTTCTGGGGGGAATGGCCCTAGCCCTTACCCTCCGATCCAACAGGTCCCAGACGTGCTCAATGGGATTGAGATCCGGGCTCTTCGCTGGCCATGGCAGAACACTGACATTCCTGTCTTGCAGGAAATCACGCACAGAACAAGCAGTACGGCTGGTGGCGTTGTCATGCTGGAGGGTCATATCAGAATGAGCCTGCAGGAAGGGTACCACATGAGGGAGGAGGATGCCTTCCCTCTAACGCACAGCGTTGAGATTGCCTACAACGACAACAAGCTCAGTCCGATGATGCTGTGACACACCGCCCCAGACCATGACGGACCCTCCACCTCCAAATTGATCCCGCTCCAGAGTACAGGCCTCGGTGTAACGCTCATTCCTTCGACGATAAACGCGAGTCCGACCATCACCCCTGGTGAGACAAAATCAGTGAAGAGCACTTTTTGCCAGTCCTGTCTGGTCCAGCGACGGTGGGTTTGTGCCCATAGGCGACGTTGTTGCCGGTGATGTCTGGTGAGGACCTGCCTTACAACAGGCCTACAAGCCCTCAGTCCAGCCTCTCTCAGCCTATTGCGGACAGTCTGAGCACTGATGGAGGGATTGTGCGTTCCTTGTGTAACTCGGGCAGTTGTTGTTGCCATCCTGTATCTGTCCCACAGGTGTGATGTTTGGATGTACCGATCCTGTGCAGGTGTTGTTAAACGTGGTCTGCCACTGCGAGGACGATCAGCTGTCCATCCTGTCTCCCTGTAGCGCTGTCTTAAGGCGTCTCACAGTACGGACATTGCAATTTATTGCCCTGGCCACATATGCAGTCCTCATGCCTCCTTGCATCATGCCTAAGGCACGTTCATTTTTTTTTTTGGGGG